CCAGCATGTTGTTGGGCGTTCTCAGCGATTGCAGCGGTGGAAGGTATGATAAAGATTGCGGGTGGAAACCTCATATCACTTTCCGAACAACAGCTTGTAGATTGTGACACAGATCATAACAAAGGTTGCACGAGCGGAGCAATGGACGAAGCCTTCAGTTACATTCAAAACAATGGCATTGCTTCAGAATACGCATACCCTTACCAAGCGAAAAAGGGTAGTTGCTTGTCCAATGTCAAAGCCGCGGTACATATCAGTAAATTTGATAACGTTCTAAGCAACAACGAGGCTGCGTTGCTTCTGGCTCTTTCGATCCAGCCAATCTCAGTGGCCATTTCTGCGAGAGGGAACAGTTTCATCCATTACGCAGGGGGAGTGTACGATGGGAAGGACTGTGGGACCAGCGTGAATCACGCAGTGACACTAGTTGGGTTTGGGACGAGTCCTGAGGGGATAAAGTACTGGCTAGCGAAGAACTGTTGGGGTACGACATGGGGAGAGAAGGGTTACATGAGGCTACGTAGAAATGTGGAGTGGCCAGAAGGCATGTGTGGTCTGGCTCAATATGGTTCTTATCCGATTGCGTGACTAATTCGATTAGATCATTTGTATTGACAGGATCATATCTTCATTATAATATAAAGCCAAATGCGTCAAATGTAAGTGTGACAAAAGAAGTATGATGTTTACCCAAAAAGAAAAAAAAGTCTCTTAAACACAAAAAAAAAAACACTTTTACAAATAAATTTTGAATAATTTTATTAAAGAAAAATCATTGTCAACTACACTATAGTCAACTATTACACATTTTAACTAAATTAATATATCAAAACCCTGCACAAAAAATTAAATTTGCATGTTAACATTTCACAAACAAACAAAGGCTATGTGACTAACATCATAACCATCATCTTCGTCACTAATCCGATGTACATGATATTGTTCGGTTAGATCCAAATTAACCTTATAAAAAAAAAAAAATATCCGATCCAAATTAGTAACCAAATAAAATATATCCAACCCACCTATAACCGATCCCCGAAATTACTCTACCTTTCATATAACCGATCACATATAAATAAAACATATCCGACAATAATATAAGATAATATATATAGCAAATTTTTATCTCCTAAGCAAAATATTTTCTTTTGTATTTAAACCTATTATAAATGTCCATTTATTTCA